TTTATTACGAGATCTGAGGTATTCGAACTCAGGTAACCAACAGTCTGGGGACGATGTTTTGACTATTTCTGAGCACTTGTTGTTTGGAGCATTCTCTGACTATGTTCGAGCCTTCGTCCAAAATCCGCCTGCAGGAGGTCACGCCCGACCTCAGCCCGCTCCCAGAGTCCCTCCCGGCCCGTTACCTGACGAGGCGGGGATCCCGCCGTGGCGACGAGAGGCCTCCGGGATGCGACCAACAAGGGGAACACAAACGCACGGGAGGGCCGCCGTTGTTCGGGCTGCGACTCCCTAAGATTGACACGCCAAAAGGCGATGACAATCTTAGGGATGCGCCCCGAAAAACTAGGGGAATCCCTAGGATTGGCATTGTGATGAGGCGATGCCCAGCTCAGGGGTAGGGATATGTTCCAGGCTGGTAGTGCCAGATGCGGCAGCAGGGCTGGCACGTCCGTGGTCGAAGAGCCAGCAGCGTCCCACTCAATCTGGCTTGATCGGGCCTATGAATCATGGACTTCATCATTCGACTCTCTGGGCTGATTCGGCTCCGTGGCGCCGTCGGCGGACTCCATGCAGCCATCACTCGCTCCCACGAGGAGCTTCCGGGAGTTGCCTCCGAACGGTGTCTCGGCTGGCCCCTCTTCGGAGCTGCCACCCATGGAGGGAGACCGTACATCCGTATCCACGGCCTCTCGTGCTGGGCTTCTGGGCCGCGACCCCGTGGATCAGGGACGTTGTGTCCGTGGATGCCCCGCCTGGAACGTACGACCGCGTATCCGAGGAGGAGGAGGAGGAGGAGGAGGAGGAGTTGGAGGAGGAGGAGGAGGGAGGAGAAGGAGGAAGAGGAGGACGAGGAGGAGGGGGAGGAGGAGGAGGAGGAGGAGGAGGAGGAGGACGGACATCGGCCCAGCGGTGCTCCTCATCCTCTCGGGCGTCGCCCTGGATGCATGGCGCGCCCTCTCCCGCAGTGTATGGGGCTGGTGTACACCTTAGGCGATGCTTAAGAAAACCCAAGTTTTCGGCCAGAGTCTCGATTATTCTTAACGTTTCAATGTAAATCCCAAGATTTGAATAGAAAGTTTGGGTTTTTATTGAAGTTCTGAGACTATGAATTTCTGAACCCATGATTTCTTAAGCATTTCGCAGGGTGTACATGATGCGTCGCTGACGGCACCACCACCAGCTTTTCGCCTCCCGGTACTTCGCCTCCGGGTTCCTGTCCAAGGCGTTCCTTTGCATGCACTTCCCTTTCAGCACCGCCTGATCCCGGGGCTTTGCCCTCTCTTGGCCTTGACGTGAGGCCCCGCCTCCTTTTTCCCTTCCTCTGTTAACTAAAGCTGTGCGCGGCCCGCTTAGCTTCGACCGGTAGAGGCCCGCTTTCGACCCGCGGATCAAAAAGTGTGTACGGACATGTTCGCCGTTCGCGAGAGTTGCTACACGTCCCGACGTCCCCTGGGAGTACGGGAGGAGGAGGAGGAGGAGGAGGAGGAGGAGGAGGAGGAGGAGGAGGAGGAGGAGGAGGAGGAGGAGGAGGAGGAGGACCCTGTGGCCCCAGAGTGGGTTTTTTTTGCATCCCAGGTCGCTGTTGACGGCTGTGGGGGCCTCGGCGAGGGCCCCCAAAGGCGGAATACAGTCAAAACAGGTGGGAATGGTGGTAACCTCCTCCCTCCTCCTCCTCCTCCTCCTCCTCCTCCTCCTCCTCCTCCTCCTCCTCTCCTCCTCCTCCCTCCCTCCCTCCTCCCCTCCTCCCCCTCCTCCTCCCCCTCCCCCTCCCCCTCCCCCTCCTCCTCCTCCCCCTCCTCCTCCATGGTAATGAGGGTACTTTTGCCCTGGGCTACGTTCGACGTCCCGCCGCGCTCGAAAAAGCTTCGACACGGGTGCACAAAGGGGCTTGCATCCGTACCGCGTCTCTTTTTCTGTCAGTTTTCACTGTGCTACCAAAGCCTCCCGCTGTGTTTTCTCACCGCGCGAGCATGCCTGGGGAGCCACACGTCACGACGATCTCTCGCCCGATCCAAACCCCATCGGAGTCGGTCCCCAGATCCCTCCCAAGGCCCGTCCTGGCCAGTTCTTCGAGGCGCATCCAGCCATGGCAACGAGGGGCCTCCAGGAGGCCCAAAAGTCGGGAGCCTCCAAACCAGGCGGTGAGATGTCAGGCGGTGACCTGGCATCCCAAAGAGTCACCGCCGGGTGTTGCCACCACCACGTGTGGGAACGACTAAAAAACTTACCAGCCTCGAACGTATCCCTATCCCTAAGGTTGACCCGCCAAGAGGCGATGCCAATCTCAGGGATTCGCCCCCCAAAAAACAAGGGAATCCCCAAGATTGGCGTCGTGATGGGGAGGTGCTCAGCACAGGGATAGGGATATGTTCCAGGCTGGCAAAAAAAAAACGGAGGAACAACCAGCTCCTTGCTCTCCCATCCCGTTCCCTCGCTGCGGAGCTGTCAAGCGTCCCGACGATCATCGATCGCTCACGCTGCCGGGCGACGACGCCATCGTGCCGCTCACGGCCGCGCTGCCCATCGGCGGCGGGCCCAGGGAGGCATGCCGACGGGGCGGGCCTGCCCAGAAGGCTCGGAAGGCTTCGGGCCTTACGAGAATCAGAGCGTGAATTACCCACCCCGCTGTCGCTTCCAGGCAAAACCAAGTCATACCACGCGCCTCCTCGTCAAGCGGCCTGACTAGTACAGGCCGTAGTTTGGCATCGTTTGGTATCTCTTGGAAGCGAGGGTGGTCAAAAGCGAGGTAGGTTTGTTTTCCCCCTAGAGAAGTTACCTCAGCCTTCTCCGAAGACCGAGACGGCCTGTCTCACCACCCACCAAACCATCCCCAACCCAACCCGAAGGCTTCCACTTGCCCTGCATCTCTGGTGGGGGGTGGGTCGGGGCACACCGAGAAAACGCATCTGATACCCGTACCCCCCCAAACCCGAAAGTTGTGTCTTCGGGTTGGGTCGGGGTGGTCTGGCAGGTAGTCACTGTCAGAAGGCCGGAGGGCTTCTGAGAAGGCCCACGCGCCTTTTGTGGAGGCGTGTCCCTTCTCGGACGCCTGGTGGCTTGTGGGTCTTAACTCGGCTCTCCCACGGCCGTTCGAGGGGGTCCGGGCACCCCCGGGATCGCTCTCGGCGAGGCGCAGCTGCTGGAACGTACCCCGCGAGGCTGGAAAGACCCCGAGGCCGACGAACCGCCGGGGAAATGTGAGCCTCGAGCCCGCAGTGCCCGAGGGCCTCGAGCCTCGAGCCCCGAGCTTCCCCTTGGGCGCGCCGCCGACCAGCGGCCTGACGCTCGCGCTGCACGTGCCTGCGAGGGCGTCCGCCGCGCCGTCGGGGCGGAGGAGCGGCGTGGGAGACCGAAGAGCGCTGCGCGGTCACTCAGGAGGGAAAAAAACACACAGGCACAATTAATCGTCGATCCCCCAGAAAATATGGGGAAAGATGGGAAGTGGGGGGGAAGACAGAAACCCAGAAAATATGGGAAAATATGGGGCACCTTTTTATTTGTGTGTTTTTATTTGTGTGTCCCAGGGCCCCTTCAGTCACAGCAGCCTCAGGGGCAGCGTTGCCGGACCCTTCGCTGCCAGGCCTCCCAGATTCGGGAGCGAACGAAGGGCGTAGAAGTGCAGGAATCCACGCTGGCCTCGGGAGTACGCACTGCGCGAACGTTCGCATCATGCGGCCGGTCCCTCGGACTTGGGGGCCGTGGTAGTGTACCTAGCTGGGCGCCTACGTCCCTTTGTGGGTTCCCTACAGATGGGGTCCGAGTAATTCGGTCTCGCAACCCAGACCCCCTCGAGTCATGGGAAAATCACGACGGGTGTTGTGTTTGCCATTTTCGGCCTCTGGGGGCTCTCGCTGGGCCTCGGGGCCGTCAAGACGACTCAGGATGAGAATCCGATTCGGCGGAATGGGTCGAGGCCTCTGGGGTCGACGCTCCGGAAACAACATGACGTCGGGGGTCGGTGATAGGCCTCCCAGATGGGGTAAGAGTAATTCAATGGGGTCGGAGGTTCTCACCGCATCGCCGATGCATCGGCGATGCGGCTCGATGGGGAGCCCGACTTTCGCCACGCCGACGTCGCCGATGCATCGCCGACGTCGCCGATGCATCGACGATGCGGCGCGATCCTCCGACCCCATCTTCTCCGACCCCATTTGGGAGGCCTCTGCACGCCTTCCGACCAGCAGGTGCCTGGGCACGAGCTCGGTGGCAGCGTTCCCCGACTCTCCACCTTTCGCACCCGTGGCATCGCTCGGACGCGTGCGTTGTTGCTCGGCGAGGACAGCGCCGGAACGGCTGGCCCATCCTGGAACACATTGGATCGCTGTGTGTGCAAACACTCAAGGGAGGAACAATCACCCGGACTGGACCATTGGCGTTTACGAAGCGGCCCTGGGCGTTTATTGAACAGCCCTGCCCTGTTCGATTCTTTCTTTGGGCGCGTTTACTAAACGACTTCGCGTGTCGGGGTAGTTACTATGATAAAGAGTCAGGTTTACGGCGGGCAGTCGGAGGAGAGCATTACCCCAACAAAACACCCTGATAGCAGCAAAGGCATCGAGGCGGCTCGAGGAGTAAGAGGTCGGCTGTGGGAGACGGGTGATAGCACGTCCATGTGCACCTTAGTAGAGTGTTTTGCTGCCAGGGGTCATGGTCGTCTGGACCAAGCATGCAGCCGGCACCCAGGCGAGAGCACGATCCCTGAATCAATGGTGAGGAAGGCTGCCAGACCGCCTCTGGGCCAGGCGGTCTCGGGCTCCCCGTCCACCCTGTGGGACTCTTCTCAGGTGTTTATGTTTGTATTATATAAATAAGAATAACAAGCAGTTCTCATAACCCTTGAGCGGGACGCTATGAGGAAGTGATGCCAGTACTGCTGCTTGTCCTGAAGGCACTCGTCGCCACGGTTGGATTCTCCTCGAAATTCTGGTCAGAGGGCGCCGTGGGAGAGGTCCGGCGAACAGAAAGCTGTGTGAGCATATACTCGGAGGCGACATTAGGAGGGTACGCAGGGTTCGAGGCTCGAGGTTTTTACATCTTTGTCCGTGCTCTCCGTCGTTCCAGACCCGGGGTGCCTTCCATCGGCTGCGCCCCGCCGAGAGCGTTTCGAGGGTGCTCGGGTTTTCCCTAACCGCATCCCCGGGATAATCATTGGTACCCCCCCCTCCTTCCCACTTGAGACTTGACAATCCACGGCCAATACTCGTTTGGTAGGGGAAAAACGGCGGCACTGCCGAACTTGATAATCGCGGGGGAAAGTTGCGAGTCGAAGTTGTTTTCTTCTTATGTTGAGTTGATTTCCTAAGGAATCCTATGGACGCCCCAAAGAATCCGATGGACGTCCTAAGGATTCCTATCCATTCCTTAAGGATTCCTATGGATGTCCTACAGCATCCGATGGATTTCCTGAGGTGTTTTAAGGAATCTGGTGAATTTCAGCAGGAGCCCTTTTGCACGTCCTGGTGAAGCCGATGAATCTCCTAAAGACTCAAGATTTCTCAAGGAGTTCTATGGATGTCCGAGGGATCCATATAGATGTTCAAGGAGTCCTATGGATGTCCTCTTACGGAGCCCGATGGATGTCCTAAGGACTCCGATGGGTAACCTAAATAATCCGATGGGTGTCCTTAGGATTCGCGAGCACCTCCGCACGACTCATACGGATGCCATACGGCATCATGGATTCCGTTGAGAATCCTCATGGATTTTCCGAATGATCGATTGATTTTCGGTGGAATCCGATAGACATCCATCGGATCTCTTCAACAATCCACCAGGTCATTTTGGCAATCCACCGGGTTCCTCTTAAGCATCCATCGGATGCTTGAGGACATTCATAAGACGCATTTTAGATTTCAGTGGGTCCTTTCGGAGGTCGACGAGAATCCTTAGGACATCCATGCAATGCCGGAAAATATTAGATCTTTTAGGACAGCCACAAGGTTCCTTAGGACACCAATCAGGTTCCCAAAGAAACCATCGGATTCCCAATGACACTCATAGTAACCCTTGGGGCAATTCATATGATTCTTTAGGACATGCACGGGAATCGCGATAATTCCCCAGGAATCCGATGGTGTCTTTTGAAAGCGTAAGCGCCGATTAATGTTAACATCCAATCGGTCACTGTTAATGATTCGTTTTCAGTTCCAGGTCAACATGTGGATTGCTCAATGTTCGAAAACATCCGATACACGCATGTGGATTTCAAAATTCAAATCGGTCACCACAAGAAGGGTCCATTCTGGTTCCTAATTTAACATGGCGGCTTTTCCACTGTGGGCAGTACAGTCGCCACGCGCGCGCGCGAACGCGCGCGTGTGGAGTTGTGCAAGTCGCCATGTCGGTTTCGAAACCAAAGCGGACCCTTGACAGTGACTAACGGGATTTCGGGCGACACGCCCGCGCCTGCGTCACCCGATCGCGCGCGTGCGCGGACGCGCGTGTTGCGAATTTAGCATTGTCCACAATGGAAAAGTTGCCATGTTCGTCTGGAATGCAAAGGGATCCCAATTCTTGACAGTGGCCGATTGGATCTTGCAGTTCACATATGTTTGTTCGACGTTTTCATCTAAAAAATGTGGTTTATTAGGGGAGGTCATATGTATTGCCATGGGAATCTCATGAGTTCCCGAATGGATCCCACGTATTTCCTACATAATCCTACGGATGTCCCAAGGCACCCGACGGATGCCCCCAGGATTCCTATGGATTTCGGAAGAACGCGCTTGGATTCCCGACGGGAAACCGATGGTTGTCCGAGATATTATTTTAGATGGCCCGAAGAATCGCAAGGATGTCCTAGGGACCCCTTTGTGGATTTCAAAAGAATTCCCAGAGATGCCCGATTGCATGGGTCTCGTAAGGGACTCGATTGATTTCGCATGACGTTTTATGGTTCCCCGGGGGACTTCGATGGATTTCCTAAGAAGTCTGGTGGACATCAGAAGACATCCACTGGAATCTCTTCAGGCATATATGCGTTTCCGAACGCACCTATGGATTGTCCGAGGGATCCGGATGATTTGCTTACGCAAGCCTCTGGGCTGTCCTGAGGAATCCTCTGGGTGTTCACGGGATTCCAGTGAAATTCTAGAGGAGACATGTAGGTGTCCTACAGAATTTGATGGAACACTTCAAGAATCCGATTGATGTTCGAAGAAATCCGCACAAGGTTTGGTGGATTTCCAAAGAATCCTTTCTTGACATAGACGGGGAGCGCGTGACAGCGACGAGCTTTGCAAGAGCGCGTCTCGGCATTATCCGTCGCCAGATTTCCAACCTCCCCATTCGCGTTCCCCCATGTCAGATGGATTTGGTTGTCCGCGTGAGTTCAGACGAGGCGCACCCCCCTTTTGGCGCTTCTCGGCAGCGTCCGTCTCCAGACCCCCCAACCTCCCCACCCGCGTTCCCGCGTGTCAGGTCGCTTTTACTTCCCGCGCGAGTTCAGACGAGGCGCGCCTCCCATTGTCGCACTTCGGCACTATCCGTCTACAGGCCCACAATCCCCAGTCGCGTTCCTTTGTGTCAGGTCTCCGCGCGAGTTCAGGCGAGGCGCACCTCCCGCTGGCGCATCTCCGAAAACGACGACGACGATGACGTTGACGACGACAGCGACGACGACGACAACGACGAGGACAAGGACGACGACAATGACGATGACCAGGATAATGACAACGGCGACGACGACGAGGATGCAAATGTTGATGATGTCTCTAGCGAAAAGCATAATGTTGAGCAAGATGGTTGAACAACCATCGTTATATGTATGTATGTATATATATATATATGTATGTATATAAACATATATAAATGGAAGGCCGTCTTGGGGGTCCTCCATGGGGGTCCTCTTGGGCCGTCTTGGGGGTCCTCCATGGAAGGCATCCAAGATACGGCGGAGGACGCCTCGTTGTGCATCGCGTTTTCTACAGGATGTCTCCGGTGGGAGCTTCATTTTCGAGAACGCGACGAATTCGCAAGCTCCCTGGACACCTCCGTCGTTCGAGGATGTCTTGGGCGATAGTTATATTTGGATCATGAGAGGTGAAATCGCAGCTCTTTCGGCGTCTATGCGTTTCGAGGGTGCATCAGGCGGAACGTCCATGTGTTGAGATCGGCGGATTCCGCGGGAGATTTCAGGGAGAGCGCATTTCACGGGCGTTTTGTTTGGGAACAATCGGCGGTTCGGTTCGAACCGGGGGGGGGCCCTCCCAACATTCGGCGCCGTCGATCAAAACCAGGGGGGCTCCCCCCTTACCCTAACCCCCCCCTGCCGAGTCCCCCCCCCTTCGGCGCCAGCGCTGGGGGGGGGGCGGCCAACAACATGGACGACGGGGACGCAGCGA